CGTTAAATATTTCTTCATACAGTTTCACGCTTTTATTTCGTTTTCTTCTTCTCAATGAATAATAAATCAAATCAGACCTCAATTTAATCTAAATAAAAACTAAAATAAAACTACATACAGATTATAACGAAATAAAGCTTCTTTTAATTAAGATGAAAAATTTTAAATCTAAAAAAATCTGTAAAATAGATAAATAAAGCTTCACCGTATTTAGTATGTAAAATAAAAGCCAAGATAAATCTTCTGAAAGTGTATATTTAATTATAATATATCCATAATTTTTACAGTACTCTTTTAAGATACATTCATATTAGTCATAACAGCTTAAGGCACATTTTGTATTTATATGTATTTTATTTTAAAATAAAAATAAAATAATAAATTAAAGTAACTGAAGCTAAATGTAAGTAAACAATTAACCATTAAAAGGTTTATAAGCTGTTTTGGATTGTGATATAAAAATAAATAAAATAGAAAGTTGTAAAATAGAGACAAATTTAGTCATATAAATGTAGACACGAATATTGTAGTTATCATGAGATCTTAATTAATACTAAAGATAGACATAGAAAAATTCTTCAGTATCTATAATTAAATTTAGAGGGTTTTAAAACTACGAACTTTCTAATAATATTTTTTTTCCATGTCATCATTTTGAACTTGCATAAAAGCATTTGTATCCTCTAGCATTAATATCTCTACAGCCCCTCTCCAACAAGCCAACAACAATCTCACCTTATATTTATACCTAAATATATAATTATTTACATAAATAAGTTAATTAAAAAACTAAATTTATTATTATAATTAACATAAAAAAGATAATTTGTACTTTCGTATATTATGTTTAAAAAAATATTACAAATAATAAAATAATCAATTTTTAAACATGTGTGAGTGGTTAATAAAATGTAAAAAAAAAAAAATTATGTAATTATGTAGAGAGTGCAAGATGTTTAGAAAATAAACTTATGAAAACATAAAGAAAAATAAATAAATAAAAAAAGCATGAGGGAGAAAGAGTAATTTAAAAGTCAAGGAACAATATAGTTAACAAAATCTATACACTAAAAAATAAACCATCTTTATTAAAAACTATAAAATAAAAAATAAAAAAAGGGAGAGAGAGACTTTATTTCTCTTTATTTAAAAATAAAATAAAAAGATAATGAATAGTTACTTAAAAATAATTATAAAAATAAATAAGTATAAAATTTGTTTACACTATAATCTTGTGCACTGAGTCTGAAATTTATCTCAAAAAAAAAAAAAGATAATGAATAATTACTTTAGATTTTTCATCTTACAATTCACAAATTAAAAATCAAATCTTGTGCAATAAGACAATTTCTCAACCTACGTGGCTCACTCTTCTCTGTTCCAAAATTTCATGTTGCTTTAAAACTTAAAAGGATTCAGATCCACCACCTTCAAGGCTGAAAAGTTACTCTAACTTTCGAATAGTTTTGGACAGTTAAATTATAAAATTAATTAAGATTTTAACACGCGTTAAAGGCAGTGGATCCGAATTCCTAGGAAAGAAAGCTGATACCAAGTGTCTAAATCCACCAGGTGAGAGCCCAAAACAGCTCAAAAACCACTGCAGCAAACCAGTGTTGGATCAGAACCAGCAGCAAACCAGTGTAGCAGGAACAACACAACTGGATCAGCACCAACACCTCCGGACTCGGAGTCTTGCACAATCTTGGACTGCTTTTCTCTAGAATCAGCAACTGAGTGTTGTGTAAGATAAATTATATTGTAAGTGACTTACAAAAGGATTGATAATTAAATAATTAAAAACTAAAATATAAATAAGTTAAATGGAACAATTTTATGAATAATTATTATTTGATAAGAGGGTCTTTAAAGTATTATAAATACTCACTAATGTAAAATAAAGTCTACATCTTCTAGAAAATATTTTCTCGAATCTTAGCCATTATAAAAAATATAAAAAGTAGAAAGAAAAATCAAAACAGAATAAAATCTTGATTTTCTTAATTTTTTTTAAAAAATCAAATTGTTACGAGAATAAAAGAGATTTCCAATATGAAAAAGATATAATATTTTTTAGGTTAAAAACTTAATTTGGTGTCTTATAATATTTTTTGTTTCAATTTAGTACTACTTTAATTTTTTGTTTCAATTTGGTCTCCAGTAATTTAAATTATTGCAATTTGAGACTTCCGTCCAAATAATAATTTAAATATATATATATATATATATTAGAATATAATTTTTATTTTTTAAAATATATTATTTTTTAGATAAAAAAAATTATGTATGTGTAAATGGTTTTGTTTTTTATCTTTAAATCACATTGTGTGTTGGTTGGAGTTCTGGAACGGTCTGTTCTGGTACAGTCGTTGGTGTTAAATAATGTATCTGGAATGCCCATTCCAGATGCAAAATTTACGCACCATAAGTGCAACCAGAACGGTCCGTTTTAGTTTTAGAACAGGCCGTTTTGGTTTCAGATGCTTGAAAAAATTAAGTATCTATATATGCATCCACATCCGCATCCAAGTGAAGTCCACGTCATCAGAAATTAACTCCATTTAAATTATTTAAACAGAAATCCCAGATTATAATAATTTAAATTATTAAAGATTAAATTAAAACTAAAAATTAAAGTAAAATTAAATTAAAATAAAAAAATATTATAAAGGATGAAATTAAGTTTTTAACCTATTATTTATTATGATGTGAAAATCATAAATTATACTATTAAAAAATTATTAAACTTATATGTTCTCTGCTAAAATTTGGATCAAGATCAGACTTTGGAATCAGCCTTGGTTTCTTGACAGCATCACCATCAGGCTGATGAGATCTACATTGAGAAAGTGTGTGCCCATTGCAATGACATGATGAACAAAAGTCAGGAATCTTCACTACAGGAATCACCATAGGTCAAAGAAACATAAAATGCAAGACCTTCCCTTTCAACAAGAAAGTTGATCGGATTGGCTGTCTCCAAGAGTAATCTTCACTAAGACTCTTGCAAAATGTCCATAGGTGTGCTGCAGTGCAGGGTAGCTTGATCAAGAGCAATCGGCACCCCCACCCCCGAAGCAATGGAGAAGATGATTCTAGGATTCCAAAATTCCTGTGGTAGGTCCATGATCCACGACCCAATCTGCGCATCAGTGCTCTTATGAAGTCTAGGATTGAAGTCTGGTTTTCCAAAGAGAGAGCCTTAAAACTGCAGGCTTCAAGTCCCAAAAATCAGCTGCAAAAACAGCTCCAAGATCCTCGTTTCTTTGAAATTCAAATTCAATGAAAACTCTTCCAAGGAAAATGAGTTTCCAGCCCGCAAAATGGCACCAAAGCTGGGACAGTTTTGCCTTCAAATCTTCTGTTGAGAATGTTTTATGGCCTTTACAATAGGACTCCTCCATGGAAATGATTGTAGCAATGAGCAAGACCATCAAAGTATACATCTTTCGGAATTTTGATGGCTAGTATATCTCCTTTCCGGGAAGGTTGGAAAGGATTGCAAACATTTAGTTGTGTTATAAAACTAATGTTTTTTTTAAAGCAGAAATTATGTTTTAAAATTTGACTTTCGTTTATATATATATATATATATATATATATATTAAATATAGAAATGGTGTATGTGAACATGACTTAAAATTCTTGTTTTGTTAAGAAAAAAATGTGTAAGAAATAATGTAAAAAAAATAAAAATAGAAGAGTGAAAATAATTAAAGTTGTTTGATTCAGAAAAAATAAGAAGTGAAAAGTTATATATATATCTTATTTCTTATATATTTTTACTTATTTTTCTTTAAATGAATACTTAAATTTTTACTTTTATTTTTTACCTATTTTTATTAACTTTTTATTTTATTTCACTTAATTTCTCATTTTTTTATACTAAAGACACACTTAGTTTGTATTTAGTAGAAAAGAAAAATAATATGTGAAAAATAGAGTGAAGATAAATAAAAAATGAAGAGAAATAAATAAAAAATAAAATAAAAATTTGATTGTTTAATTAAAAAAAATAAGTGAGAAATAAGATATATATATATATATATATATATAAATAAAGCGAGATCCATCATCTTTTAATTTTTATCCTCTCTATTTTTTTCAACCAAATAACTTTTATATTTTTCATTTTATTTTTATTCTCTTCATCTTATTTCTTACTCATTTTTTCTCTATTAAACAAGATAATAATGAGAAAATTATTGAACAGGAAATATTTACAATAGAGAAAAAATTTGAGATTTTTTTAAGAAATTACTTATTTTCAGTTTTTTTTTTTTAAAAAAAATTTAACTCTGGTGCGTAAAGCCATTTAAAGTACACACTTAATTGTTTTCTATTTTACAAAATAATTGAAGGAAATACTTCTTCTATAAACGTTTTATACTACTTAAAATAGTTTAAATATATTTTTAGTCTTTCAAATTTAAGCTAAATTTATTTTTATCTCTCAAATTTAAAACAGTTAGTTTTAGTCTTTGTGATTTTTTAAAATTTTATTTTAGTCTCTTAGATCACCAATAACATATATAAAAGTAACAAATTTAGGCGTTTATATAATATTATTGAATTTAATATGATATTTTCACTAATAGAGATACTAATAAGTAAATTTTATACAATAATATTTAATAAATTTTTTAACAAAATGTAAATATAAAAATTAAAACAAAATTTTTAAAAATTACAGGGACTGGAAACAACAATTTTAAATTTGAAAAATCGAAAACAAATTTATCTTAAATTTGAGAGACTAAAAACATATTTAATTCACTTAAAATTATATATATAAATATATTTTGGAAGTAAAAATTTATATAAATTAAAATAATACATGATATATGTGAATATAAAATTATTTAAATATATAATTTATATATTTTCAAACATAAGTAAATTATTAATTTATTACAATAAGAGGGAAGCTTCCTCGTGAAGCTAATGAAAACTTTGATACTTCCGGGAGAAGCTTTCATAAAGTGAGTGACAACCGAAGTGATAAAAAGATTTTCTTCTTCCTGAAGTGATACCTCGCGCTTCTTCTCCGTCTCGTCCTCCCAAATGCGCGTTGCAGAGAGCGAAGATCTCTTGACGGAGATTCTCCTCCGTTTGCCAGGGAAGCCATTAACCACCTTCAAATGCGTTTCAAAGCAATGGTACGCACTCATTTCTCATCCACGTTTCCTTCGTCGATACCTCACCTCCAACCGTTTTCCCTCTTCCTTGTTGCTCGCACCCTTTCCCATGCACTCGCGTCGACACCGCGCGAAGCTCATTCCCCCTCTCGCAGCTTCTCCTCCTCCAACGCTCATCGACTTCGGTTTCCTCAACGTTCCCCACTTGGCCCTTAGCGTCGCGCAATCTTGCAACGGCTTGCTGCTTGTGCAAGGGACGCACAAGGACAAGAGGTGGCCACTGTCACGCGAAACGCGCCGCTCCAATCTCTTCGTGTGTAACCCAATCACCGAACGTTCCGTCGCAATCACGGGAATAGCGACAAAGAGTAATTTTTTTCTCGCTTATGACCCTCTGAAGTCTCTGCATTTCAAACTTGTTTCTGTCCAATCTGTGCATCGTTTCGCTTCGGGGGAAACAACGTTAGCTTGGGGTGACTATTATACGAACGAGGTTGCTATATATTCTTCCGAGACAGCTTGTTGGAGTGATACTAGGGTTTGTTTCACTACCCCTCCTTCTATGAATATGGATTTAGGTGTTTATTGCAATGGTTCTGTTCATTGGTATATTAAAGCTAAGGAGTCGTTTTACTTTGATGTGGAAAGCCAATGCTTGAAAACGTACCCAATGCCACCCAATATTGAGAACCATGAGAAGAGTCATTTCGGTGAGTCACGGGGGCGTTTGCATATGATTCTCATGTCCCCTCAACTGTTTTTGTATGATATTTTTGAGTTGGAGGAAGATTACTCTGCTTGGTCACTGAGGTTCCACAAGCTGGATCTTAGTCCCATGCAAGCTGCATTTCGAGGCATGAATTGGTACTTTGAAGACGATGTTATTCCATTATTTGATATATTGTGTGTTGTTCGCCATAAAAGTGAAGATGATTTTGTGCTTCTGTTGCTTATTCCTGATAGAGTCGTCTTGTCCTATAATGTTTTGGATGCTACCGTCAGAGAGCTAAGTGAACTTCAGCCTATTGTTAGGTCACATGCTCCTTGGGTTGGAGGTTACACCTTTGTAGCATTTGAATACATTGAGAATCTTTCTCCGGTTGGAGGTTTCACTGCTTGACGATACTAATCTAATGATCCATTGTCCTCTAAATTATTTGTAAGTGCTTCATATATATATATGTGTGTGTGTGAATCTATAGATAAATTGATCTATTTATTTTGCAACAAATGTTTTCCAGTTTGTATTCAGCACTGATATTTTTGTGTTGTTAATTTGTTACTAGTAGTAGTTAATGTAATTTCCAATTTTCAGGGATGCTGCAATATATGCTTATGATAGTAATTTTCAGTAAAGCCACAACAACTATTTGAGGGAGCTTTCACATTCCCAGTGGTTATACTACATCTAGAATATATTAAAAAAATCTGCAAAAAACAAAGCTGTAATATTGTATAGATGTGTGTTTTGTATTTTTTTTTAATTTATTTTACTGGCCTTTTTTCTAAATACATCTTTTGTCTATGTAATTGTGTTGCACAGTTTAAAGTATAATTTGTGACCTTGCTTGGATGCTTTAAAATACACTCTGTACAGTTGAGTTTTGTCTATTTTCTGATAAGTTTGTTGTGATTTTTTGTTTTCAAAGAACTTCTAACCATTAAAAGAAGCCATAATCGCTTTTAATATGTTTTATATGTGTTTGTGACAATGCTTGGATGCTTTGAAATATACTATGTTGGTGTTGATTCTGTTGATATTTTGTCGTGTTCTTTGATAAATTTGTTGTTCTAACTTGAGAAAGAAGCCCTCATTGCTTTTTATGTGAATTATACAAGAAATTTTGTATTCGTTTTTCTATAATTCCCTTGCATTTGTTTATTTATGCTTTTCTAAGAGGAGTATCCTTAACCTTTCATTGCAGTGTTAGCATCTTTTAGGAAGTGCAAATAGAGGGATCGTTGGAGTATCTTACTTGGTTGTGAAAGCCCTATGCAGTCAACGCTTTTTGGTTTTGGCCTTCTATCAGCCACTATCAGTGTGTTATATTTTAAAATCTTTTCATATCGTTGTCTCCATGTACATCTATTGAAGTGTTAATCTGTGTTTGTCATAACGCATTATAGCATAGACTTATGTTTTTAATCAGCATCATTAGTTCATATTAAATGCAATGTATGTTTTATGATTCCTGTCTCAAGATTTTGTGTATGTTATTGCGTCTGTGTTTGCGCTGTTAAACTTTGCGTGTGTGTACACATACTCACGCCCGCTTACATAAAGTATGTAACATTTAGAAGGTAGGCCATACATGAAAGATCACGTACTACTGTGTTTTAAAGTTGGGGATGTTAAAATATGGATTGTAGACTTGGTTATTGTCTTGGACTGTGGTGGAATGTTACGATAGTTGTTTCCATTAAAACAAAGTGTATAAAATTATAATTGGTCTATATCATTGACCATCTAAAGTAATAATTTTTATTGACCATCTAAAGTAATAATTTTTATTGTCATGATAAATATTGCACCTACAGGAGGGGTTATGAGTAATTTTGTCGTTTCAGTTCTCGTTGTCTGATAAGTCCTCATTCTTAAGTCCTCATTGCTCTTTCATCATATTTGTTCCGGAAGGAAAAAGGGAGGGTATTTGTAAAAGTCATTTTAAAATTCAAGTTAATCCTTGATTAAACAAGTCAGCGTAGTTAATGTTGTAATAAATATTAAAAAACCTGTTTTTTTTTTCTCTTACAGGTTACTATTTATATTATTCTTCTTAGAATTGGGTTTATATGTTAGATCCATCACTCATCATTATATCTTTAATGAAGTCATATTTTTTATGAATTACTTTTAATTCTTGTTGCGAATCGAAGAGTTCTTGGCTTTATCCTTTGGTCAAGTCTCTTTTATATAAATATTTTTTATAAAAAGAGTTCTGATTTGAAATCATGTTTTCTCTCTAAGATTGTTGGAATCATGAAAATAAAAAAATAAAAAGATGTTTTTAACAATGAAATACATGAAGGTGAATTTCAACAAAAGATAAATTACAATAACATATTAAAATAAATAATATAAAAGTTTAGAAGAACATGGGTTAAAGTAGACTAAATGTTATTTTTAGAGAAGAAATGTTTCATTATGTTGATAAATTAATTTGTAATGTGTTCTTCTATTAAGACACAATAATTTGATAGATTGATTGTTTATCACAAAGGATTTTTAAATCAAAGAACATCGTTCAAATATATATATATATA